AATTAAACAATCAATCGATCAATTGAACGTTTGAATTTTGACACATATCCCCTCCCATACCCGTGCATGTGTCATTATGAGAGAATATGGGACAGGCATCATGTCAGCACACTGTAATTGTAAAGCCGGGCTTGGTGAATTCTGTTCACATGTTGCCTCGGTGTTATTTTATGTAGAGTATGCTGCACGTGCAAGAGAAATCACCCCCTCCCCTCAAACAGCTGCCTACTGGATGCCGGCGATATATGTATATAAGTGTAAATGTGTAGCGGCATGCAGTGTACCTGTGTATTGCATAGGAACATTTGACCGGCATTTACAGGTAATTATCGGCAATACAAGGCGAAAGAGAGTAGTGAAACATTGGTAGTAAATACATTTCGTGTTTATTCAGCATTATTGAAAATGCCCCAAACGTCTGTGGTCCGCCTGGTCTCTCGCTACTTTACCTTGTGTTGTGATCACGCTAGGCAGCCTAAAAAAGCTGTGTGCATGGCTCTCTCTGATAGCGATTGCTGCAGTTGACAACACCGCAGGAGAGCGGCGTTGTGATGGATTTGCTTAATAGGCAAATAAAATGAGCAGAGGTGCGTTGCTCAATGTACTTGTATACCATGCCTGAACTGGTTTCTGGAACCCTAATGGCCGGCGGCGTTGCATTATGGGTAATATGAAAAATCGTGGAACCCTCTATAGGCGTGTTCACACACAAGAAAAACCGCGATCCTAATCGCGATGGAAATACCGAGATAATTGTGTTGTTGTTCACACAGGAGGAAATATCTCGCAAATCGCCGAGCGGGATAATTCTATTAATCGAACTGCGCATGCTCACTGCCGGATGTTGATACGATCGCTTGGAATGATGGGATAGAAAATACCAGGATTATTTGCGCGCGCGTTCACACACACGCCGCGTGCAATTAATCGCGCTAATTCCAAATAATCGCAGTCAAAAGGGCGATTTGCAGCGCAATGCTGATCGTGATACTTAGTGAGATGTTTGCGTTCACACTTGTAAAAATCTCGGTATTTCTATCGCGATGCAAAAATCGAGATTTGCATCCCGCTAATTCCCGCCAGTGTGAACGCGCCTATTACCCAGCTAACAAAGTTATGTTCCGTGAATGTTATGGAAATGTTTCTTTTAGGTTAGCAGAACATTATTTAGTAACGTTCTAATAACGTGTTTTAGGAAAGTTTTCCTGACATTCTGAGAACGTTTTTACCAACATTCACATAACATTGATCAATCTCCGAAAATGACATATTAACTGCAGCAACACTACGTATGCGCTGCAGACTTATCTTAATCTCCAGTACGGCAGTACCATCACACACACATACACACACAAACAAGTACAAACAGTATAACTATCCCTATCACTAACCTTAACACAAACTATGGGTGATGCTCCATTAGGAGCGTTCCCAACTTTAATGTCATTAATGTCGTGATATAAAAGAGATATAAAGGGGGTGGATCGATATCAATTAGATATCAAGGGGTGGTTAGATATAAAATAGATATCAGAGGGGGGTGGATCGACATCAATTAGATATCAAGGGGGGGTTAGATATGAAATAGATATCAAGGCGTGGGTTATATAGGGTATATAGAGGGAGCAAGCAACATTGAGACTGGGGTATGTTCGCTTCGTTTCACTTGACTTCGTTGCTCGAGCAAGCGAAATACTGAGCGGGGCCATATGTTTCTGAACTGACAATCAATTCCAAACAACTAGTGTAGGCTGGCTAATTAATTAATTAACTAATTAATCAATTAGGCTGGAGATTAATTAATAGCTAGTGAACGACATTATTTTGTGGGAAAGCAATGCATGCGCAAATGGACTACCGTACCCGTAGCTAGCTCGAGACATTAAGATACGGCTACCGTCCCCGTAGCCACTGCGAACAAAAATACATTTGATACCTGTGCTATAGTTTGCAACATCACAAAAACGGCAATTAGGAGTTTCGAACCTATCCGAGGACGGTTAACGTTTTCCGAACATTCCAAGAACATATAACTCTCTCACCAAGTAAAACCAATGAATGCATAACGATATGGGAATGTTCTTAGAAATTTTTTGGCTAATCTAACCAAACTAGAACCTCCAGCGAATGTTACGAGAATATTCCGTGTTTGCTGGGTAAAGACAACTTTGTTAACTCCTGATACAATTCAACACCCGCCCGCCCCCGCCCGCACGTGGCATTTTCCTACGCCCCCGCCCGCCCGTGGCTTTGCCCTACGCCCCCTCCCGCACGTGGCTTTGCCCTACGCCCCGCAGGCAAAATGAACGAGTTTGCTACGCCCTAGATTATGGATTTATACCGCGTTAGGGCAAGCGGGAAATTAAAAACCTACAGTGAGAAATATTTTATACAAAGTTTTGCTTAGAATAGCGATAGCTTTAGTGTTTATTTAGTTTTCATTGTAGTAGCATATGAACACATCTGTGTAGAATGTTAATACTCAATCCGTTCACATCTAAACAGTGAACAGAAACCATATTTATACATGCGCTTCGTAGTTTCAGTAAAAAAACAAGTCAAGTACTGTAGATCCGAGCTGAAACTATATAATGTTCCCCAAATTCGCGCTAAACGGAAGTAAAAACCGGAAACAGATAAGCGGTCAAGATAAAGAGATAGTACTGATATATCGATCTAACTGCTACTTAAGGCCACGGTCACTACGCTAGCTTACACATAACAAGAAGGGATACAATTCAGACTACCGTAAACGCTAATTAGTTTCTCTCGTTTACCTCGGTAAGGACGATATGGTTCTCACGAGAAGAAAGCGATCTGGTGCTGCCGCCGCTGTTGCGGCTGCTGACGCGACTGATAATTATGATTATGATGATGGTGCTAACAGCAACCCCACAGAGAGGAGGTACGTTAGTTGAGACTTGAGAGCCAACAAAAACTTTTGGTCAAACGTTTTTTCACCTTGCAAACATCTCACATTTCTTTATGATACGTTTAGAATGTTATTTAATGGTAGCGATTGCATTGAACTATTTATTTATATCAGGAGTAAATAATATCAAATTTGAGATTATTTACTCCTGATGAGAGCCGATGTAGCCGAATATCATATACGCCATATTAATTATCTTATCTTATTTAACGGACAAATATATAGTATTTATAGTAACAGGAACACGTGATGTTATTTGGAGTTCTCTTTTCATGTACTCCTGTTTATTGTTTGTGATATCTGACATTAAATAATGATTCTTGTATCTTGTAGGCCTATCTATCTTGTTGTACTCCTGATATATATTGTATATGTATCCTGATATATATATATATATATATGTGTGTGTGTGTGTGTTTGTGTGTGTTTTTTTTTTACCTCCGCCCACGAAGTAACGGAGTGGAGGGGAGGTAATGTAATCGGTCTCGTGTGTATGTGTGTGTGTGTGTGTGTGTCCAGTCCGCGCGGCGCGATTGATAGCGCGTCGAGTCAGCGAGCGGCGAGTCAGCAGCAGGCGAGTGAGTCAGCAGCAACCACCAGCAAGCGGCGAGTCAGCAGCCGCCACCAGCGAGCGGCAAGTCAGCAGCAGGCGAGTCAGTCAGCAGCAGCCAGCAGCGAGCGGCGAGCCAGCTCGTAACACCAACATGTTACATGCTGGCGGAGGTATGCACTCTCCGTGAGTGCCCTCTGTCTAGTTATATCTGTTATTACCATACTACTAATTAATAGCCGTGTTAGCTTAAAGGATGTATAGGTCGCGCACAAAAGCTTTGTTAGTGCATTATAGCTACTATATAATTAGCTTAGCTTAGTTGGTTGATATTGTTCTATAGGCGTTCAACCATTATATCTACGGACAGTATAGATTTAGCGCGCAACCAAGAATGCTAATAAATTATAAAGGTTGACACCGTTGAGTAATTGTCAAGAGTGACAGATCGACGTAACCATATAGATCAGGACGTATCCATGACAAATTGTCATTATTAATCCCTGATATCTAGACGTGATGTGGCCATGAGGCCGAGGTGTGCCGAGGATTGACACTTTCTGTCTTCCAATCACAGCCTACGCCGCACCAGTGTTTTATATTTTTAAATATGGGAACCCATTGGACCACCAAATCGCCGATCTCAGGAACTAGGATATTCTGCTAGGCTAGAACGGTTTCCTACAATAGAGTTTGGCACAAATAATAACACGCTGTTTAGCGCACTGCGCTACGTCGTTCTGTTGCATTTTCGCATTTCCGTAATCAGAATAAGCCCCGCCTTCTTTGTTGATGGGCATGAATGGGACGTCAACGACGTGACCCGTTACTGCGTGTAGGTGTTTGGCGAGACTGTTTGCTTTTCGTAAATAATGAAAGGCCCGGCCGATGCATTTCGCACCGAAGTGGAAAAATTTGGCATTTTTACCCGCTTTCGGAAGTGAACGAGTGCGTCATTCATTGAACATTGAAGTTTTTCTTAAAATTAAATAATTCCAAAACTTCCTAACCGCGCTACTCAATTGTTTTAGCCAATGAACGTAGCTGCGTGTGTGACGTCTTCCCCGCGCGCTTTATGCTTGGCTTAGTGGGCCTCGAAATGGATATCGGAGGCATGCACCTCGCAACATGCGTGTTTGTTTACATATAGCTTTGTGACATCAGGATGGGCGGTGTCGGGAGTTCTGTGATGATAACCTCGTAATTTCTCAGCATTTCTTAAAGTGCATGAAACATTTGACCAATTTAGTGGTGTCAGTTAGTCACGGATATGTCACAGTAAGTACTAACCGTATATGTTTCACGTACGTTCACCTATTTTGCACACAGGCGGTCGATCGTTGTGAAAAATTGTGTGAAGATTTATTTTTATTGAGACGTTCCAAGTGCCTGCATTTGCTTTCATCAGTCTTTTACGTCAATGCACGTGCGTCAAAAGCCATAAACTCAAAACAATTTTATCTCTGTTATTGTTTACGCCTGAATGCTCTACATAATGGACCCCCAACAATTAAGCCATTTGACTGACTAGTCAAGAAATTCAAAGGTCTGTATATTGCTCTTATTTAGCCGCCAATAGTTCTTATTTAGAACAAAGTCTTCCTTGTTATCTGCTAAAACTACAGACCATCCACTGACCGCTGTGGAAACGTGCGCCGGGCCTCGAAATTGGCGCACGTCTCCACTGCGGACAGCGCTTCATACTTGAACATCCCCGCGGTTGCGTGCGCAAAACCACTCGGAACTGCGCGTCTCATCCGTGCGCAGCGCTTAGGGTCGACAGCATGGATCAAGGATCATCATGGATGCCAGTGACAATAAAAAAAAAGAATAGCAATTTTAATCTTATTATTAATGAAATCTAAGACTGAGCAAACACACACAGTCATCGACAGTCATGCTTCATTACTGCTTGAAGATTTTTGATTTTTGAAGATTTTGAATATTTCGTTGCAATGAATTGTGGGATACTTCCCCAAGTGAGCGGCTCAGCTAGCGGGTTACTTCGGCCTCACCCGGGTAACGCAAAAATACCACGTGACTGCCAAATCGAACGTACGTATTTGGGGCTGGCTCGAGTAGACCCAGGTTAACTTGTAGAAGCAAATCGAACGCACTATTAAGAATTGAATTTCAGGAGCTGAAAAATAGTATTTCGACCGTTTTCGGCCGAGTGGCAATATTAAAGCTAGGTAGCCATGTACTTCAGCTGTGCACCCATAGAAATAGTATAGATAACTATCTATAGTTATCTATACTATTTCTATGTGTGCACCATTAGAATTATGTCATATGTTGTCCAGCATTTTAAAAAAATATCGCGAATTTACTAACCGACACCACATTTATGCCTGAAAAACAGTCGCGCAGTCGAATAGGGGCCATACATTGAAATAATTCGTTTTAAATTACCAGTAACCATCCACCCATCTCCATGTGCATGTCATTGCCACACACGAATCCTCTCGGCCTCTAACCGGTAGCGGTAGCGCTGCCGGTAGCGTAATTTTTTTTCCTATGTCAATCAAGAACATAGGGCTCTAGTGAGCGCTGCTATTGGTTGAGCTTGTTTCGTCGCTCAATGACGTCACAGTGTCGTCATATTCATAGCACATCCAAAATTGATAATTCGAATATCTCTCAATAACCTAGCGAGTACAGCACGCAATTCAAGGCTGAAAGGTCGGTGGATCGAATCCCATCCATTTTTTTATTATTTTCCTGTTTTCTGTATTTTTCTATCTTTATTCGTTTAACCATTTTTTCCCAATTAACGCAAATATTTACATGAATTATTTACAACAATTTAATAACAACAATTCATTTTTACAATTAAAAATTGTATTTTTTATATATTTTTTTAAATAGGGTTTGGGTTAGGGTTAGGGTTAGGGTTAGACAGAGCATATAAATCACCATATAACCACATAGGCAAAGCATATAAATCAGTAGGTGATTTATATGCTTAGGGTCACAATGCAGTGAATGCACCATAAAACAGGAGTTTGAGGCACGTGATTTGTATCAACCAATGGCAGCGCTCACTAGAGCCCTATGTTCTTGATTGACTTAGGATTGACCTCACTGATCTCTACTATACTATATAGTCAGGGGCGGATTAAGGCTCACTAGTTCCCTAAGCACTGACCGATCTTGGTGCCCCCCTCCTTTCCACACTGACCCAGTCCATTTTAGTTGTTGACCTGTCTGACCAGATATACAATGCAGGTTGTAGTAGTACAAAAATTTGCGTAGGATTTGAAGGAGGTGGTGATAAACAGGCGGGGGGTATGGGGGTCCTCCCCCAGAAATTTTTTAAAATGTAGATCGCAGGAGATGGTATTTGAGGCAATTTTGAGCGTACATGCATGTACACCTTCATTCTGACTACGAGTCAATCTATTTGTTTTTTACACGTTTCAGTTGTGAGAAAGACCTCTCTGTTGTGCAGTTGGTGACCATTAATGTTAAAAATATTCTTAAGGCAATTTCAACATTTGGAAAGGCACTCTCTAGTTTGTCTTCTGTAATTGTGTTGTAAAGTTCCATGTGAGTGAAAGAGGTTTTCTTGGTTGTTTTAAACTTATGAAGAACATATGAATGGAACTGCTGAAGCTCTGTAGACTAAGTGTTGTGCATGTCCTCCTGATGTCATCTGGATAAGCATCAATGAGTGACTGACAAGTCTTTGAGTACCTTTCACTTTCTGATAATTGGGAATTAGCACCTTGTTGGGTGGCATTAGGGGCCCCTTGTATTGTATTGTATTGTTGGGGGCCCCTTGTGGTACACCTGGGAAGTACAAATCTTTAATCGTTTTTTTTCTTTTCACCCTTTCCCCAATTTTGTGGTGTCCCCTTTGGCCCTGGTGCCCTAAGCACGTGCTTAGTCTGCTTAATGGTTAATCCGGCACTGTATATAGTAGAGATACTATATAGTAGAAATCAGTGATTGACCTAAGAAAAATAAATAAATACTACTATTATGACACGTGACCACTATTAAATCACTACCGGCAGGCGTGATTTAATAGTGGTCACGTGTCATAATAGTAGTATTTTTGTCTGATAGGTGGCGCTTTTTAGCATGGCTATGTGGGCCTTGATGTGGGCAGGTATAGTAAACATTTGTGCATCATCCCTTGATATACAGTTGATGATACACAGAAATCTGTGCATCGCTTCGTGATATCTAAGGCTAAGGTGCCTAAAGTGGTTTTGCGCCGTCTGGGCCTGGGCTAGCCCAACCAGGCTCTACGACTGTTTCACTGTCTAGACTTATCGCCACGTAGGCCTAGTGAGAAGCGAGAAGGTAAACTTGTGCCTTTTTTCATTCCCGCAGGGGCTGGAGGTACGGTAACCCGACCAGGCTGTGTGACTAACGTGCAATACACCTGGTACACGTGGTATTCTAACCCTAGCAA